CTGGAAAAGACTTTTTTTTTAATTATCTAATTTATTTTTGGGAAAATGTTTTTTGATAATTCACTTTTAAAAGACCACACAGGATATATTTTAGAAATCATCGTTGTTTTCTTACAAAGTGCTCATTTTGAGAAGAACAAGGCCGTTGGTTTTTTTTTTGTTGTTGTTGTTGTTGTGTTTTTGTTTTTGAACAAAACTGTGATCAATATTTGCCTTCAGACAAACAAACAAAAAAAAATGTTTAAGAATTATCTGACCGATCTGCGGAAGCCTGACTTGAATTAGAATTTCCTTATGAACAAAAGATTGTTTCCTACCTTTTCCATTGCTGTCTTCGTTGCTAGGATTCTGTAAATTGGGACCTGAGCGTTCAAGCAGCGTGACAGAACGCTGTATCTAAAAGTTGTGACTGCTGCAGTGCACAGATTCTGCTTTTTTTTTTGTTAAGGATAGCCTTTATTTTTGAAATTGTGTTGGAACAAAACGAATCAGTGTGGCGATGGTAGGGGTGTTCGTTGCAGGAGTTTTTTCAAATGGCTGATTATTTCAGCTAAAAATACACTTCCACTTGTTATGGCCAGGCAACTTGAAGGGAGGGGAGAAAGTAAGCACAGCCTGCGATCAGATGAGTCCTCGTAGAAATTTTTGTCTTTTATATTCGGTCCGTGTGTGGATCCAGGGTTGGAGGAATCCGTGGTGGATTCTGTGCTTTACCCTCACCCGCTGTCCTGTCCGGAGCCGAGGCCGCGTGATAGAGAGGGGCTGAAGCATAAATGAATGAAATAAATCAAATGAGAATCTCACAGAAAAGCGACAGTACACACCGAACAATTAGAGCTCCCTAACGAGGACTTTGAAAAAAGTTCCAAACACAGTGTACTGCACCCGATTGCATCGATTTCGTTCAGTTACGTGATGTTAATGGGAACAATTATTACATTTGATTACTAGTTTTGTTTTGTTTGGTTTTGTTTTCTGTATCTGATAGACCTTTAATTTATTTAATATCCATTGTTTTAGGTTCTTGACCTTTCCTTGAATATCTGTTAGTCATTTTAATATTTTATATATATATATATGTGTGTGTAAATATATATATATATATTAGGAATGTATTGCATCTTCTCACTGATAAGGTAGTGTACATCATATTTGCAGCAAATGATCTCCAAAGATTACTTTCTAAAATATTTTTTCATGGATCTTTTTTTTTTTTTTTTCTTTCCCAAATTTCTTTAACATTTTTGGAACGGCTTACGAAAGCTTAGGAATTTTTCTTGGTATCCTAAGAGGAATCGGGGATGGGGAGGCTGAATACCAGGAAAGTGTGATCCCTACGAATTAACACCTAGCAAGGTTAGAGAAAATATACAAAATAAAGTGCCTTAAAGCCAGAAAGGGAACCCTTTACACTGAGACTTAAGCAGTGAATGGACGTTGTCGTTGAAGCAGATGCTCTGTCGGGACCTACCTACCTGTAAATATCTTGCTCAGCAGAAACAAAAAATAAAAACCAGCGAACAATATATTTTTCTATCGTATCCTCCAGCACCATTTTGTCTCGTTGCTCTCAGTTCCACTTTGCCTACTCTTTGGGAAGTGGAGAATGGCGAAAGAAAGGAGAAAAACCGATGCTTAGGTTGTTGCCACGTCTGAGGGGATCTTATGGAGTAATTGCTATTCCAGTAGAAAAAAAAAAATAACCATTGTTTACACATGTATGGAATATGAACTGCAACTAGCGTAGAGTCGATGTCTTATAATGTTCATCGTTTTTTGGTGACAGTCCCAAGGATGTAGGTACTTGGATGGATTCAGTGCATGGAAATTTTTTTTTTTTTTTTTAAGACTTGCTTCTAAGATGCAATAAAGATTTTTTATTTGCAACCGGAGCTCCTCATGTCGTCTGCCTCCGTCCGTGCCCGTGACACAGCCCTGAAGGTGAATTGGCCTGGGGAGGTGAAGCCTGGCAAACCAGCCCCTCTCTTCCAAAGGGTTTTGACCTCTCTGATGTGTTTCGGCCTGGAAGGAGCCTGGTGCCACCTCGCTGGGCTGGGGGAGAGGGAGAGCAGCCTTCGTGGCGGGTCCCTGGGTGCTCCCGGTTGGGTTCAATGGGGGCTTTGGGCTTGTCCCTGGGGAGAGATTAGAAGTGCTCCCGCTGCTAACAGAGACGTCTGAAAACAGCCGTAACGACACATCTGAAGTGACAAGGCTGAATAATTGAGTTGCGTTTTGTGAATTTAAGACAGTAAAAATAATTGTGGAAAGCACTGAGTGCTACAAATAGCTCTGCTGCCTTTATCACGGGTGTTCAGTATCGGTGTGGGGCTTTTTAATGTGAAAAATAAAGTCCCAGAGAAAGAGTTTTAGGGATTACAGAAATGTTTCTTTGCAATAGGGAGGGGGGAAAACAACAGCTTGTATTTGTGGCTGCAGAACAGAGCTCGAAGAATATGAACCCTAAAGAACTGCACCAGAGGATGGGGGGAAAAACGACCTATACTTCCACCATATTTATTGAAGTTTATGATTGTGCAGGACTTCTTTAGCCCATAACTGCTGGTAGCAGCAGAATGCATTTAAATGCAAAAAGCCATTTAATGAAAAGCACCCGTCCAGTGTTGTTTTTTTTTTCAGTTGCTGCAGTTTGCTCCAGCTCCCAGACGAGCCCAAGGAGTGAATGTGAATTTTACACCAAGCTTGGAGTCAGCTCCTGAGGCCCGCAGCTTAACTCAGCACGTATTTTATGGACTTGCAGCTTCAAAGTAATCCATTTTAAATTATAACCATCTATGATAAAGTCTAACCTTATAAAAGAACATTTTATGCTAAAATAAGCTCTTGTTGCTGCCTGAGTTTAAGGAGGTTGCACAGGTGGAAGCCATTGGGTCTCAGGTGCTAACCCAGCCTCCGACGGAAATTACTTCTGGAGCTGGGACATTGCCCTCGCAGTTTGCTTCATTTCTTCGATTCAGGGAGAAGGTTTCTAAATTTTGAAAGGTGAATTAGCAGCGGGGATGCCAGGAGCGTTTGCCTGCAGCCTGTTCAGATCCACAGGGTGTGAGGATGTCAGTCTGAAACAGCGCGGTGACCGAGAGCAATTTGCTCAGCTGCTTCTCCTGTGCTTTAAAACAAAAAAAAAATGCAAGGCACTTCTTTCCCTCGTTCTCCCTGTGTGCTTAGCCATGGTGCAGGGTGGCAAGGGCAGCAAATCCGCAGTGAGCCTCGGGCTGGGGCATCATGGAGGCTCCGCTGGGCTTCGTGCATTAACACAGGAGTTAAATCGGACCTGACCCTTCAGGGAGGAGCTGGATTTACTGCCACCCTTTTCTAAAAGCGCTTCCTCTCAGCAGCTTCTGCCCTTGCTCAAGGATAAATGGCATGAAGAGAGGGGATGGGGAACGAGAGGGAACAGGACGGGGAACGGCAGCACGGCGCTTCGGTGGCCACAGCGCTCGGAGCGCCTCTTTGCAGGTTAAACATTTGTGTGCAGCTTTGCAGAGTCACGGTCCGTGGAAGGATTTCAAGTTCTGGTCCTTCAGGCACAGTGGGTTTTTATTGCCCTGAAAATGAGTTACCAGCTTTGGCCTCCAAGCGAGTTCCCTGGACCTGGCCGTACGGCGCCTTCCAGCAACATCAGCAAGAAAGTCCCAGCCCCGAATCTGCTTAGTCTGGAGTTTTCGGTGCAGGGCTAACTTTACGCTGCAAATCATTAGACTAAGTCGTTTTGCATGAATACTTGCTAAAAATATTCCGCTTGCACAGCCAGCCTCACTCGAAAGGTTTTTGGAAGCCGTCCTTCAGAGGCCGTGCAAGCCGCGCGAGCAGGTTTCTGCTGGGTCCCCCCGAGCCCTTTGCTTGGGGATCAGGTTGCTGGGCCCTGGTTTAATAACTGGTTTTGTGCCCAGCTCTGTAATCTCTGCTGCTCTGGGACCATGAGTTATTGCTCTGGCTGGAGCAAATTCACTTTTTTGGGGCCAAATTGCGCTCAAAGGCTTTTTTTCTCCATGGGGCATGGGCAGTTTTGGGGACATCAGCACCCCCGGCTTGGGCACATGCAGGCTGCAGCACAGACTCATCCCATGGGCTTCCCCCCGTGTCCTGCCCCTTGGCACCGCTGCCCCAGGAGCTTCTCTGCCCTCTTCCAAGCTGCTGCCGACGTTTCCCAGGTGCAGGCGCCCCCAGAGCAGCTCCTTGGGGGGAGCGGCGCTGCCAGCGCAGAAATCCACCGGGCTGCAAATCACCTTTATGAGCGGGGAGAGAAAAAAAAAAAATTAAAAAATTGAATTAACCTCAAAAAAAAAAAAAAAAAAAAAAAAAGCAGACGGAATACGGGGCTGGCTGTATTTACTTTCACACTTTAATTCAATAAAAACCTTGACTTTAATTGACCTGAATGGGCTCCAAGGTTTCCAGCGGGCTGGAAGCAGGGGTCCCCGGCACAGGGGAGCTTCGCTGGGCGTGGGGCCGGCTCCGGGCTCCTGCTTTGCTGCTCGCTGCCTCTTTGTTCCTTTAGAGAAGGAAGACAAAAAGGAAGAACCCACAGAACCCACACCTTTCTGCTTTGCTGACTTCTCAGTGACAGGGCACCTGCAAAGGGCACACTTAAAAGCCGCTTTAGTGATTGTGTGCTAAAACAAATGCCCAGAGCAAACAGGCTGTGACATGGGGAAGCCGGGTGCTGTTTGCTCTGCTGGCGCTGGCTCTGCTGGGGGTGTTTTGCGTGGTTCTGAAACCAAAGGTGGGCCCCGGGGCACCTATCCCTATCCCTAATCCCTATCCCTAATCCCAATCCCTATCCCTAATCCCAATCCCAATCCCTGGCTCCTTCCCCATCCTCATCCCTTTCCCCACCCCCAGCCTATTCCCCATCTCTTTCCCATTCCCTTCTCCACCCCTTCCTCATCCCTTCCTCTCCCTGTCCCCATCCCTTCTCCTCCCCCAGCCCCATCCCATCTCCATTCCCCTCCTTATCCCCAACCCATCTCCAAGGCTGCAAACCCAGGGACATGACCGATGGCTTCTGTCTCCGCGTGCTGATGCTTTCCTTCGTTTCTGCTCTTCAGAGTGAGCACCGTGGGCCTGTGCCTGGCCCCCAGCCCCCCCCAGCCCTGGCTTCTCCCCCAAAATAATAAGAAAAAAATTAAAAGAGGCAAAGCAGCGGGGCACTGCCGGGATCACTGCCCCCTCCTCCTGCTTCCCAGCCAGCTCCCCGCCTTGAGACGTGGCCAAGGTAATTCACGTCAAAACGCAGACAGGGCTGGGAGTCTGAGTGGAAAGGACTTTGTTTTGTTTTGTTTTGTTTTAATTGAATTTTTTTAATTGCTTTTACCCCGAGCATCCCTGGGCCGGTTCCGGCAGGGCCCAGCAGCTGAGCCGAGCGTCACCGCCTTCTCCCAGGAAATGAGGAGCCGCGTGTGAGCACAAAGGGAATTGAGAATTGTTTGGGGCTTCTTTGGGAAACTCAACACAGCTGAAAAGTTCCCGGGTTTGTGACAGCTCCTCGGCCCCCCAGCTGGGGATTCAGGGTGCAGAGCGTCCCCGCGGTGCTGCCCAAACCCCTCCGAAACCCCAATCCCCAGGGGTCAGAGTGACGGCTCCCCGAGGAGCGCTGATTAGGGCCGGAAGATGCTCAGAAGTGCTTAATGGGGCGGAAACCAGCAGCCCCCTGCACCTCCACCTCCCGTAACAAAGCCCTGGGGGTGCCGGGACCCCCCCGTGGCTGCCCCGGGACCCCGCGGCCGGCGGGGGGCTTCCCGCCCCGTGCAAGCTCTGCGTAAAAGGCCCTATTGTCAAGCTGAGGAACTAAGAAATAAAACAGGACCGAATTGTGCGGAGGAGCCTTCGCCGGCTCATATTTTTCCTACGGAGCGGGCCGGGCGGTGGGGGCCCCGCAGGACGCGGCGCGGGCGCCTTAATGCTGCATTCAGCAGCGCTGGCCCCATAAAGTCCCCTTGTAGGGCCCAGCGGGGCCGCGATGAATGGGGCCCTGTGGCCGTGCCGGGAGGTCTGGGGGTGGCAGAGAGCACGGCCCCGCTGCGGGGTTCCCCGTTCGTGATGGGGATGGGGAATAAAAACCTAGGGGAGGGCTCGTCTCAGGCAGGAGGCGGCGTCCAGTGACATCCCCATGGGGCTGGGACTGGAGGAAGCTGCTGAAGGTGCCGTTCTTATGAGTTTTTAAACCCCAGTGACATTTCTCTAGGCAATGCAGTGAGGATGAACGGCTCGCCCCAGCAGGGCAGCAGCTGCCTCCTGCCCACAGCAAATCCCAGCCCGGGGACACGGTGCCCCTAAACCCCACCCTGTGCCCCCATCCCAACCCTGTCCCCATAACATGCCCCAGGGTGAGCCGAGGACACGCTGGCAGCCCGAAATAGCCACCCTATTTCCTGTCCTTTTAACATTTGCTTAAAGAAAACCAATTTCCTTCGGTCTTTGGGCAGCAGCACGCGAAGCACCGCACGGCCCCTGCTCGTGGGGAGCGCCCAGCCCCACAGCCATGGGGACAGCGCAGGGGACTCGGTCCTGCCCAGCACCAACCTGCTGCAAGGGGGCAGGAGCAGCTCAGCACCACGCAGGGAGCACTCCCTGCTTCGTTAGCAAGTAATTAATGGCATAACGCCCCCCTCCCCAGGGTTTAGAAGCTGGGGTAAAATAGCAAGGACTGGGATGTAGTCAGCTGTCCTGAGGCAAGCATCAGGAGCTGGGTGTGAATCACAGCAGCTCCCAGCCCCTGTGGCCTCGAGGAGATTCCTCGTGCTGGTGCCCAGGGCTCTGGCAGCCCCCTGCTCCTGGGCTTTGGGGTTTTTGCTGCCTTTGAGCCCTTTTCTCTCTCCCCAGGCAAGGCAGGGCAATGGGTGCTGCCGCTCTCCGCAGCTGCCCGCCTGTCCCACCAGGAGCAGAGCAAGGTTTTGCTGGCAGGAGTGTTGGGAAGGAGCATTGAGATTCCCAAAACTGTTTGAACTGGTAGGTTTGGGGTCATTTTTTTGTTCATTTTTCCTCCTGGGGATTTACTCCCATGACACATGCATCGCTCACCTAATGGGGCCTTGCACCAAGATGGTTCTGGGTTTGTTGGCGATTCTGCCCGGACTCCCTGGCTGGAAGCTCTTTGGGCTCGTGCTCTCTGACCCCTTATCCCAGCAGCTCTCTGTCCGGTGCCACACGCTCGCTCCCAGCCCTGCAGCAGCTCCATCCCCCACCTCACCCCCCAGCCCCTCTCCCTTCCCGGCCGACCATCCCGGCCCGCTGCAGCCCGTCCTTTCCCGGCAGCAGGCTTTGCAGAGCAGCGGCTTTATGATGTGTCTGGGGGCGGGCGGGCGTTTAATAACAGCCCAGGAGCTTGGCCACGGGAGCAGAACAAAGGCAGCTTTGTGCCCGTGCCCACCGCAGGTGCCGGCGAGGCTTGGGCTGACTCCTGGGGGCGTTGGTGCAAGCCCCCGGGGAGCTCGGCCCAACACCGGCCCGGGAAGCGGTGCCTGAAGCAGTGCCCGGGATGTTTCGGGGTGAGGGGGTCGATAAGGATGCACTGTTGTTCTTCCAGACATTGTCCTCTCAAAGAACACACCGAGGATGGATGAAGTCCAAGCTGTTTTACAGCCCCCGGGGGGGCTGCAGGGATTGCTCATGCAACTGCTGGGGCAGGGCTGAGCCATCTCCGTGCGGGACAGCGCAGGGCCTGGGGCTCCACCAGCTGCTGGAGGGATGGAGACAGGTAGGGCCGTGCCAGGAGGTTGATGGATAAAGGATAAATCCCGTGTCCCCCCCGTGGTGCTCACCAGGAGATGAATTTTAATCAGCTGCTGCAAACCCCGAACGCGCCGCAGCCGATGCAGGCGTGGGCTGTGAATAAGGGGAGCCACCAACGCAGCGCCGCCGTGGGGAGGGATCTGTTTATTTTAAGATACACTTTGTTTCCGAAGAAGGGTATTTTAGCAGCCTGCAACAGAAACGTGAACCAGACGGTTAACCTGCCCGCTCGGCCTTGGCCAGCCTTGCCGATGCTCACACAAGTTTCTCGGGATAAAAATAATAAAAAAAAAAAAAGGTCCAAAATCCAAACTGTACAACAGCTTTTTACAGGGCGCTTGGCCGGGCTCACTTTTTACACTGCTGTACAAGCTCGGGGTAACGAAGTGCAGTTGTGTTCAGAGCCAACGCGCCATCCGAGGCCGCTAATGAAGATAAAATAAAAGCTGCAGTGAGCGGAAGCTGAACAGATACACGGGCAAATTAAGCTTATTGTGTTCCTGATACTCCAGAGTGCATTTACCAAGAGAAAGAGGAGCAGAACAAAGCCAGCTTTAAGCCTTCCTGGTCACAGGGCTCCCTTCTTGACACATCAGGAAGCATCTGTCAAACCGAGCGGCTTTGCTTTGTATCAGCTCTGCCTCACAATTGACTTCGCAACAGTGCAATTAAACAGCTCACTGACTGAGGTTGTGCAACGTTAGTGGCTGAGAGATTCATTTTAGGATCTCTCGCAGTAACACCACACCGCAATAGCTCGGAGGAACCAGCAAAGCACCGGCCAGCCAAAGCGTATCGCCGGGTCCTGCACCTGGACGTCCCTGCACAGCGGTCAGGGCAGGGGCTCTGCCTGGAGCAGCCTCTGATGAACGTGCAGGGATGCGGGCAGCAGCCCCGCAGCACAGGGCTGGCAGCAGGCACGGCTCAGGAGCAGGGCGAGTGGGGCACTGCCACGTGCTGGGGCTCCCAGGACAGAGCCCGCTGTAGTAAAGGAGCTCTCCTGGCTGACAACACGCACCGTGAAAAAAAGCAGCAGCAGCAGCCAGGGCATGCTGAGGGGGAGGAGGGAATTTAAAACAGGGAGAAGGAAGCTGAGAATAAAGGGTGTGAGCAGAAGCGCAGCCACCGCCACCTCCTGCTCACAGGGCAGGCGGATGCAGAGTGCCCACGGCCCGGCCTCACGCCGGGGCTGTCAGTCTCCAAAATCCCCAACGGGGCTCCAGCCACCAAAACCCCGCAGAGCTGGTTAGCAGCACAACACAGGCACGTTCCCCACACCCCTGCCATCCCCTCCCTGCGCGGGGCCGTGCCCCGGAGTCCGGCTGTGCCCGGAGCAGGACGCGTCCATCCTTCTTCCTCGGTCCTTGGCTCCCTCGCCTCGAGCACTACCTCCGCTTCCGCATGCAGGTTTCGAGCCTCCCCAGCTCTTCGTAGGCCTGGTAGAAAATGTTGAAGTCTCTGGAGCTCCAGCCCCGCCAGACAGCCAGGCACCACTCCGTGTTTTCGTTCTCGAAGCAGCACACGACGGTGTCCTTCGCTATCAGGGCAGCATCCACCAGCGTCCTGGGGAACCAAGAGCAGAGAATGGCATCAGCGCAGGGAGCTCCACTGAGGCAGCTCCCGGCTCGTAATCTGGGAGGCTCTGGCTCATGGGCTTCCCTTTCCAGCTACTGAATCTCCTTTTGTAAGCTGCAAACCCTTGGGAAAGGAGAGCGCAGCAAGGAGAGGGATCAGGAGGCTTCACAGCCTCCTAGTGCATCCCCTGATCAAGCCATGGGGACCGAAGCTGGCCCTGCGGGAATCCCAGAAGGAGCTGGCAGGCAGAAGATGGTGCTTGTGGCCTCGCAGGGTTCAAAGGACAGGAATCCTGCCCTATTTGGGCTCTTTCCACCACTCCAATAGCAGATGGGGGAAGACCAGCCCCAAAACATCCCCCAGGAAGGCCCCAAGACCTTGGCAGGGAGTGCCGGCCACGAGGGCTGTGTGGCATCCTTGGCAGCTGTTTTTTATCACAAACCACCCTAAAAAGCCATCTCCCTTCCCGTCCCCGCTCCGTGCAGGGCTGGGGCTGGCTCTGGGTCACCCATAAAACTCCCCACGCCCAAGTGAGTAACGGGCTCGGAGGAGGCAGGCAGGATCCTGCGCTCATCCCGCTGCTGCGGGGTGACTCAGCGGGCTCCACGCTTCATTTTTTCCCCTATTTCTTTTCAGGAATTGAACGAAGCAAAAACCCAGCTAGCCGTCACCGATAGCTGGCTGCTGACTAACCGATAGAGACACTCGATTAGCGAGCAGAGGGACGGGCAGCAGCGCTTTGATCTCACGCCGTGTTTACCCAGCGGTAATAAATGGTCATTTATAATCCTTAGCACTGCTTAACCTCCATTTGTTTGGACATAAATAGTACAATCCTCGCCCGGTATTTAAGTGATCAGCAGGAACCCTCCCATCTCTCCAGCAGCTATTTATTTACTCGGACGCTGGCTTTGCTGCATGAAACATTTCACATTAATGTATGGAGCTGCTCCCCCCCTGTGCTCCGGGAGCCTTCCCCCGGCCCGGCCCTGCCGGCAGCACAAAGGTGCTCATTTAGAGCCAGGACTTCAACCTGAGCCACGTGAATGAAGGCACAGACGAGCACCACGCTCTGCATAAATACTCTGCTTGTTCTTAACGCGGGGCCCGGGCCTGCCAAGCTCCAGCCAGCTCCTGCCAGGTGCCGGAGCCCTCCGAGCACCGGGCAGGATCAGACCGACGCTGATGGCCTGACAGCGGGGACAAATCGGTGCTGCTGGCACCTTACGGGGTGCTTGGTGGCTGTGGCTTTTGGAGCACTCCAGCCTGTGGGGTTTTGGATGGTGCTGGAAGGAGAAAGGAAGCTCCCAGAGCCCCTGGAGGGTGCAGAGCCACCCTCTGCCACCCTCGGTCCCCTCGTGCCCCTGGGAGCTGGTGTGGAAGGTGCTGCCCCAGCCGGCCTCACCCGTAGGGAGCCAGTTCCCCAGCCTTCAGCACAGCAATCACTCTGCCCCGCTGCGTGCCGGATTCCTTCTCCAGTCCGATCACGATGATATCCCCTCCTCTCCTGGAAGAGAAACAAGGAGGTTGTACCTGCACCCTGCAGTGGGGACCGCTGGCAGCCAAGGAAAACCCACGTTAGGTGTCCATCCCCTGCCACAACCCCTCCCGTAGCCATATGGCCTTCTATAGGAAAGGGGGTCTGCGATGTGACCAAGTGTGATCCCAAATCTACCACCACGAGAGCCCCTGTGACGGGCAAAATCCCATTTCTGGTGATTTCAAGCATCTCAACAGGAGGCAGTGGGAGCTGCCAGAGCTGTGTCTGAGCGAGGGAGCTGCCTGCTGCTCTTTGTTTCCTCAGTAGCCAGGGGAACGGGGTGCTGAGCCTCACCACCCACTTTTCCAAGCTGCTGAAATCAGTCTCACGAGACATTAGACGTGACCATTCTGCCCAACACCAGATTTCTTTTAAAAAGAGTACAAAAACTGATGTACCGTAGTACTGGGAATGTAATTACTTAACGGTACCGAGGTTTTCTGGGCAGGTGAATCACACCGGGCATGCCACAGCTCCTGAAGCAGCTGGAGCTCCTCTCTCACCCCTCGGCCCAGGAGGGATTTGGCTCAAGTTGCTCTGGTAGGTGACCCACTTACCTGGGGATCCATATGAGGTCTTTCACTGCAAGAACCTTGACAGCTTGAAGATGCCGCGCGCTGTCGCCTGCAGGCATCGCATCGTGATCCGGGGAGGGCTTCAGTTCATGGAATTTGTCAGGCTCCTCAAAATCCGTGGAGAGCAGCGCGCTGGAGGAGCTCGTGGGTGAGCTGGGCAGGCTGGAGGGGCACCGGGCGAGCCTGGTAGGGGGCGAGGAGGAGTAGGAAGACATGGAGCAATAGTCTGTGAGGGAGTCCTGGTGGTTCAAAATCTGGGTGCCAACCTCGGGGCTGTAGATAATGCTCATGTCGGCCAGTGAGTTTCCCTCCAGGCCTTTGGGGTTGATGGGTGCGGTGGCCGGGATGACGGCGGAGGGCTGCTGGATGGTGAACATGTCTCGGAGGGGGCTGCAGTCCCCGCAGAAGTAGCGGGCGCAGAGCTGGTAGGTGGTGACGTGGTACATGACCAGGAAGTTGCTCTTCTCGTCCAGGCACCACACCACCTCCTCCCCGTGGCACTCGGAGTTGCAGGCGATGGAGGTGATCACCGACGGCGGGCTGAAGGGCTCCAGCCTCCTGCTGATCTCCATGGTGGAGCAGTCGATGATGAGGATGCCGGGGCCGTTGCTGTACCACACCTCCGCCCCGCTGCTGGTGATCTCCATGGCCTTCACGGGGTAGGGGTTCTGCCGGGCATCGTCGTCGGGAATGTTGAACTTGGACCTGTTGGCCGTGTGGGAGCACAGGTAGGAGCAGGTGTCTGCTGGGATGCCCTGGGCGACCGAAAACACCGCCACCAGGCCATCCGACAGGCCGGCCAGCACCACGTAGGAGTTCTGCAAGAAAGAGTCGGCAGGTTGTCTCTCTGGGTTCTTTACCTCCTCCCAACACAAAACCTTTCCGTCCCAGAGGCTCTGGCTGCCTCTCACCAGCCGATGAGCACGCGAGGAACTTACCCCAAATCACTCGGCGATAACAGCAACATAAAAAGAAGTCATTACATGGAAGCTGCTGCAGAGCCACACTCCTCTCACCCAGCATTACCTCTCTCTTTATTGGCAAGGGAGGATAGACGGGCCTGGCAGCCAGCCCCGAAGGTTAACAAATTCAAGCTGGAACATGTTCAGAGACAGCCATCACGATCCCAGGAATCCAGCTGTAGAAACCCGGCTCACATCCAGAGAGGAGTGAAGCACAGTGAAGCTATTGCTATCAGGCTAGGTAGGAGAGGAATGGAAGAAATGCAGGAGGAAATGGGGAGAGAGGGAGACAACCCAACGAGAGCATGGAGTGATTGCATCTGATGTCTGCTGCCCCGACAGCAGCTCACGGACATCCCGGCGGAGGGCACAGAAGCAGCAGCAGCTCAGCAAAGCGGCTGCTGAGTGCTGGGAACAGTTCTGTAGGTTGCTAAAAACCTGCCTCCGACTACAGATGTGTTCGCTGCAGGAGCTGAGGCCAGCACCGAGCTCCGGTATGCTGTGTCCTGTGGACGGGGGCTGGCGAGAAGGCCACAGCTCACGGCAGCTCCAGCTCCCCGCAGCAGTGCAAGGGGCTGTTAAACAGACAGGGAAATGGCTCTCCTGGGAATTAACTCCCCATGACCTTGGGTCCGTACCAGAAACTCCCCATCTGTGCAGCAGATAAAACAATGCCTACCTCAAAGGCCTTTATTTCCTCCCCAGGGAGCAATAACTTCTAAAAAAAGCATTTTTGCCCAGGGCTTTTGTGCTGATACAAAGCAAAGTGAACAGAACTGAACGACACGGCGCTGCCGGCTGACCCGACACAGCCTCACCCCTCCACGGCCTCATCGTGGCCAAAAGCTCTGCCTCCTGGCATGCCCGGGGCTCCAGCAATGCTGCCTGCCTCTGCGAGGTGGGACAGGGACCTGGCGTCACCCCTTGCTGCTCAAAAATCAAGGAAACTCGTGCCCTTACAGAGATCTTGGCTGTGCCAGCCCCGTGAGATAGCTCTCAGGCTGCTTAGGTCCACAGGGGCCAAAATCAGCATGTTGAGCTGCTCTCAGGTATCGAGGGGCAGATAGCACAGGGATAAGTATTAATTTAATTGATAGGACTGTTTGCAG